CCCCCCATATGCTCGTGCACACTTGTGTCTCGTGTGTGTGTGTGTCTCTCTCTCGCAATTAAGTAAATCTTTAAAAAAGAAGATGTGAGATACAGATATAGATAATGGAATATTATTCAGCCATAAAATATAACAAAATCTTGCCATTTGTAACAACACGGATGGAGCTACAGAATATATGCTAAGCAAAATAAGCCAGTCAGAGAAAGACAAATGCCATATGATTTCACTCACATGTGGATTTTATGAAACAAAACAAATGAGCAGAAGGGAAAAAAAATGCGAGTGAGAGAGAGAGCAAGACAGAGTCAAACCAAGAAACACACGCTTAACTGTAGAAGACAAAGCGATGTTTTCTAGAGGGGAGGTGGGGGGGGAATGGTGAAATAGGTGAAGGGGATTAAGAGTACCCTTATCTTGATGAGCACTGAGTAATACATTGAACTGTGGAATACTATATGTACACCTGAAACTAATATTACACGGCATGTTAACTACACTGGAATTAAAATTTAAAGAAAACAAGAAAAAATTTTTAAATTAACTAGAAATGGGTCAAAGAGCAAAATATGAGCTTAAAATATAAAACGATTAGGAGGAAACATAAAGGTAAATCTTCATGACCTCAGATTTGGCAACAGAATTTTAGATATGATACCTCGAGCAATAAAAGAAAAAAATTTCATTTTGGAACTCTGGAGGAAACTACACCTTTACATGGAATGTTTGAATATTTTTGTAGTGGCCATCACAAGAAAATTAGAGGACACCTGATTCCGACTCTGACTGAAGAGACCTCAAGCTCGAGGGCAAGCAGTCAGATCTGACAAGACCTGGCTCAGTGGTAAGCAGTTAGTTCTTGTCAGATAAATCCCCCCAATCCAACTTACTCAACATTACTTTTGTTAAGGAATTCATGGAAAAACCGAAGACAGGACCCAAACTCAGTACAGAAATCGCTAAATCAAAAAGTTCAGGAAACAATATCTATTGCAGGCTCCCTAGTAACTGGAGCTAACACTTTAAGTAGCCCAGATTTAGCTGATTCTATTCTTCCCAAACCTGTAATCTTTTCTTGTGGAAATCACAAAACTTTAGGACTTGCAGATCGGCTTCATGAGGATGATGGAGGCTTCTAGTCAAGGCAACTCAAGCCTCAGTCAGCTGTGAGTTAGCCAATCAGAAATGTGGAGCCGCTGACCCACACCATTGGGTCTAGGGTGTGGTCAGGTGTCTCAGGCTGAACCAGTAAGAGTCTTACTGGGTACTCAGCCTCTGCGAATGAGTGGGAAATTGGAATTATACTTTACCTGCTGTTTGTTTCTTTGTTTGACTAGTTGTATGCTTTTAACCATGAGGGAAAGATATGAATCCAGGCATGTGCGTGGACGTCTCTCTCACCACTTCCATCAGGTCAGAGGAGAATTGCTCAGATTAATAGTAGTAAAAGGATTTCCCTTGATGCCGACCTTGTATCTGAACTCAGGCTATTTGAATGTACAGTTTGTTGTTGTTGTTGTTTAGCTCTTGCTACCTGGGCCTGAGCAAGTAAGACCCATCATATTACATACTCGGCTTTGCCTGAAGTGGTGCTTGAATGACTATAGACTTTGAGAAACCTGGACCGTTTCCGACTGGGAAAAGGAGATGCCAAGGAAAATTCTATTCCCGGTCCTTAGTTCTGAGTGATGGGGGAAAAAAAAATTCCCTGAGAATGTCCATTCACACGAGTGTCCTGGTGTAGCTCTGGGGTTCAGGTTAGCACTGCCAGTATGATGCCAACAGTTCCTGGTCAGAAACCCAGACACGTGGCAAATGCATTTCTAATCCTTCCTGGAGGAGTAACCTTAATTGAGGTTTTTAAAGGATTCCTCGAGATAAAGTCCTCCTGCACAAGCACACAATCCCAAAACAAGCCTCCCCTCTCAAAATCAAACAAGAAACCAAACGGGAAAGTTCCAAAGTATTATTACCAAATGCCAATTTCCAAACACGGTTAAAACGTTTATATAAATAATTACAGGAGGGACTGCTGGGTCGCTCCGTCGGTTAAGCATCTGCCTTCAGCTCTGGTCATGACCCCAAGATCCTGGGATCGAGTCCCACATCGCGCTCCCTGCTCAGCGGGGAGCCTCCTTCTCCCTCTGCCTGCCGCTCCCCCTGCTTGTGTCCTCTCTCCCTCTGACGCATGAATAAGTAACATCTTTGAAAAATAATTACAAGACATGTAAAATGTGAGTAGGAAGCGACTCGTTATCAAAAATGTCTTAAGAGGTTCTCTAGTCTAGAAAATAGTAACTGCTAGATTAAAAGATCCACCAAAATTTACACACCAAAGGACACATACCAGATAGAGAGAATGGGTGAACTAGAAGAGAGGTGAAAGAAATAAGACAGAACGCCTCATAGAAGGATAAAGGCAAAAATGGGATGGAAGAGAGGCAAAGAGACTTAAGGAATGGGGTAAGTAGTTATTAAGTGCATCTCAGCGGGATTCCAGAAGCAGAAACTTGGATGAATTTTGGAAGAATAATATTCAAAGACAAATGTCTGGTAATTTCCCCCAATTTAAGGCAGCCATGACATCCGGATTCAGGAAGCGCACGTGGATACATTGTAGTAAAGCCAGGATATAAGCCTAGAGAGCAAGATAGCAGACAACAGGGCACGGTGCCTAAAAATGGAATACCAAATAATGTGATAACATACCTCTTTTCACCAAGAAATGGAAGCCAAAAGCTAGTGCTGAGAGAAAACCACTGTCAAACTACGGTTGCCTGGGTAGCCAGAGTATCATTTGATAATGAGGCTATCATAGACATGAAGATGTTCCAACCAGAACTCTCCTCAAAGACAGACTCTGCTTCAGCTGCTGAGAGTGCAGTCAGCTGGCAGTCCTCAGCCATTAGCCCTTTTAGGCGCTCCCTCAACTACAGAGAGGTGCCTTGTCCGAGCTCTGGGACTTCCCCTGATGGCCACATCCAATGTCTGATCAACAAGAATTGAGTAATATAGGTCCCTCTGGTGGTTTCTTAGACAATTTGGGTAAATTGGTGTTTTGTTTTGTGTTGTTTTGTTTTGGTTTTCCAGCCAACAACACATATCTTTGGTCAGCAATTCTAGTGTGCGGGTATTGTTTTTACAACCTAACTACTGTTAAGAAACCGATTTGAAACTTGGCAAATGCTGACAAAAACACTAAAAACCTTTCTGGTGTTTTTATCTGTATGACTACCTCTTTGTGTGCTGTGTTTGGAGACTATGGTCTTTGCCATTTCTCCTGAGGCAGAACTCGGGGTAGGGGCTCGTCAATTATGTCTCTTGATCTGCACCAGCACTCTGCTGGCTATGCGAGAGTCCTGCCCAAGCCATGGTGGCTTAGCCCAGGACAACAGTCCATTCTGAGTAGTAGGAGAAATGGCCCCAAATTGGCCAGTCATTCCTCTGGAACTAGGGGCCTGGGATATGGAGGTCAGACTGTCTCAGTAAGCCAAAGCTGAAAAGCCTACAATCTTTGGTGCTTCTGGTGAAGTCTTCCCGAAGCTCCCCTGCTGGGGCATCAGTGAACACGTGTTGTTGGTTGACCTTTCTTCTCACTGGCGTGTTTTTGTAGTACTTCTGAGAGAGGCAACAGGAAGCTTAATACCAACTCTGATTATTTGATATGATGCCTGGAAAGCCAGAAGAGGGGAAAGGATCTTCAGGGGAACCCATCTGTGGTAGCTGCAGGTTCCAGGCTGTCAGGAGGAAGAGGACTTGGCGGTTCACTGGGAATGGGCCCTCTGGGACTCGTCCTTCTCCCTCTCCTCTCCTGTAGTGGCACCTGTTGGGTTAGGCTGAGCAGCTGACAATGATAGTAGTGACTTGGAAAGGTAAGTAAACCGGTCCTGACAAACTGGCCTGTGTGCCCAGGCCTCTTCTGATTTATTTGTCAGTAGTGGTTTTGCCATCTGTGAAGATCAGCATCTGGTTGCTTGGCAAGAAAAAAGAAAGGGTATGCCAGTGACTGTGACAGAATGGAGGCTCGCTGGGGATTCGTGGCTGCTTGACTTTCTGTCCATTCTACTCTGCGCATTACTGGGCACTACTCTGGTCTTGCCCCACTGGGGCAGGCCAGGCACGCACATGAGGGCTCTGCTTGAGACTTTCTGGGATCTCCGGTTATCTCTTGTGGACACACCTGAAGGATCACAGGGCCCCAGGCATTTCAGCAGTTCCACAGTCAACCACCCCAATCTCATACCCTCGCCTCTCGCTTTGTGCAGAAAACATGGCAAAATAAGATTCAGCTCTGGTTTATCCCATTCTGCTGGCCCTTCCATACAGTGTTTACAAACTAGCACCACCAGGAGCTATTATGAGATGTGTAATTACTTATGACCAGTTGAAATCCCCCCACCACCTCTTAATTGTAACTTCTTCATATACTGTCTTTGGGTAGATAAATGAAAAGGGACTGGTCCAATTTATGCGTCTCTTTCTTGTGTGCTGCTCCCGACCTGCCAAAAAATTGCCCCCCCCCCACAAAGCAATTGAATAGAAAGGGAAGGTGCTCCAATATTGCTACCTCCTGTTACACATGCCTGTTTAAACCCAGGCATCATTTTCTTCCTCTCTCCCTATGTACTCATGTGTTTCCATCACCACCGCTTTACTTTTGGTGTCATTTTAAGAGATGGACACATTGACTCTGGGTCTCCAGAGTATCCTGGTTCCTAGCATGTCCTGATCCAATGGCACTTTACTGCTTATCAGAAATAATGTAATGATGTGCAATATAATGTATTCCAATAAAAACAGGACTCTCCTAAGATCTGTTACTGTTTTGATGTTGGAATTCAGCCGACAAAATGCACAATGAAATGGAATGATTGAAAGATTTTCGGCCCGAGGTCCCAACAAGTTTAGAGGGCACCAGATTTCCTTCTACGATTGTCCGATGTGATGTGAAGCTCAAGGGTATGCCATCACAGGGGGCACGGCCTGGCAGAGAGCCCCGCTTCCCTGCGTTGCATTTTGTCCAATCAGATATGGACGTTGCCCGTGACGTCAGGAAATGCAGCGACTGTAAATGGGCCGGCGCCCCCTCGGCAGCCGCCGTCGTCCTTCCTTCCGAGCTGTCGGGAAGGCGAGCCCCACATGGCTCAGCCTGGCTGTGAGACCTCTTCTGGGGAATGCCCGGGCACGGAGGAACCCACAGCAGCAGACACGAAGAGCCAGAAGCACGAGCAGCCAAGGCGCCAATGCCACCGCCACCGCCGCCGCCGCCCCAACAGTTTCGCAGCCTACTTCCCCAGGGTTCTGAAGCAGGTTCACAAGGGCCTGAGCCTCTCGCAGAAGACCGTGAGCATCCTGGATTCGTTCGTTAAGGACATGTTCGAGCGTATCACCGACGAAGCCTCTCGCCTGGCCTGCTCCACCAAGTGCTCCACCATCACCACCAGGGAGATCCAGACAGCCGTGCACCTGCTGCTGCCCGGGGAGATTGGCAAGCACGCCGAGTCCGAGGCCACCAAAGCCATCATCAGGTACACCGTCTGCCAGTGAGCTGCCTCCAGACCACCTGACCACCTTGCAAACCAAAGGCTCTTTTCAGAGCCACCTCACTTGGCGGGAAAAGGCCTGTAGGCTTTAAGAAGTGGGACAAACTCTAGAGTTCTTGTTCTCGTTGTGGCAATCTGTGGATATTTAGAGTAGTTTTACTTTGAACCAAACAAGATCGGCACTGCTTTCATCTATATTTGAGTGCAGTTTTTCCCTTGGACAACTGTGGACTCTGCTTAACCCTGCCACTTTTCTTGGCTTTCCTACGCGGTCATTTCCTTTAGATATTTCTGTAGGTCCGCCCCAATGGGAGTTATTTTGGTCATAATGATGTTTACCTTTTTCTCTCTCATTCTCTCATGAGCGTGTGGTTAATTTTCCAGAGGTTTGTTATGGGTCATATGGCAACAGATAAAGTGCAGATGCTGATAGAAAAATCCGTCTGACTTGTGTTAGGTGGGTTATGGAAGGGATTTTTAAGTATCTGAAGCAATGTCAATCTCCTTTATGCTCTTACAGAAAAGATATTTTTCATATGCATTTGAAATTTATGTTACTGTGGTATAATGGGTTCCTATTACAATTTTTAAATGGATTCTGGAATACATATGAACATTTCTGTCTTAATATTTTGTACAGTAAATATTGGCAGATGTTATTGACAGCACAGCTTCGGTGGTTCCTCTTTCTTTATTTACTTGTTTTTGTTTTGTGTGTTTTTTTAATCAGGTCTTCTATTTCAACAGCAGAAAAAGCAGTACTCTCCTATTTGTGATAATATCACCGTAGCACTATAAAATGTTTGTTAGTTTACAGCATATTTTTACAGGTAGTATTTTATCTGGTGTTTACAACAATGCTATCATACCTAGTTTATTACAGAAGCAACTCAGATCCAGAGAGCACAGAGTCCCAAAACTCTTAAGTGCAAGATCAGTTCTTGAACGCAGGAGATCCACATGCTCCACCAGGGTCCATAAGAAAATGTGGAGAAAAGACATGCAACTGAAGTAATTTTCCTGGTGCTGAAGAAAACTGTATTCGGTTACTTCTTACCACCTCTCATTTAAATTCGTCATCTCCTTTATCTTCTCACCCCACCCCCACCATTCTTACTACCTAAAGATTGAAAATATGGCTCATTCATTCACTCAACTGAATCCTTGCTATCTACTATATCTGGAATAGACACTACAAATATGTCTAGGTGTAAACAAAGAAACAAAGAAACAAACAAACATAAAAGCCATGCCTGACTTCAGGTTGCATTTGCTTACAGTCTGCTAAGGTTCCTGTTTATTTCTAAGTGTGTAAAGTTTTCCAAGATAAAGCTGTCCTAGGTATTTACTCATTTGCAGTGCAATCAGATCAACTAAAACTATTTAGGTTCTCTTTTTTTTAGCGTTTACATCTTTTAAAATTTAATTTCCAAATATTCAGAGATACCTTTCGACTGTAATGCTGACAAAGAGATTTCTTGTCACTTTCTGGCTCTAATAAGAATGATAGTAGCATTTCATCAGCAAAGGTGGTATTAAGATTTTGTTTGAGATCTATGTGCTCAGAATGACAATTTTGGTTTTCTAAGCCATTTCACGTAACTTATTAGATATCAAACATGCCCTTCCAGTAGCTTCAGCAGCCATTGCAAACACTCTTTTCTCTTGGTTTATTTAAGTAAGTTATCGATGTTCCAATATTAAAATTTCCTTAAATTTCTGGAAGGGAACTCCTTCATCGGAGGCACTTTGAAGAAGTTTGTAGCCCGGAGATACGTATTGTGTGGTTTGTTTGCTGATGTCCTTTAGGCCTACCTTCCCCAATCAGAAGTGATCTGAAAGCTGTAAGTTCATCTGAGCTCTTTCATTACTCCCAATTTTATCAGCATTCACATCTATTTCTTAAACTCATTGA